CTTCCGCAATTTGGTACGATTGCGTTCACATCAGCAGCGAACCCTACCGGAGTTCACATGAACCGTACCCCAGACCACCCTATTTAAGCGGACTCGGGTACGGTTACGGAGTTCGGAAGACAGCGTTCACATCATCCAAACGAACCGAACTCTGGCGTCAATCGAACCCGGGTGCGCACCAAAAGTGCTAGTGTGAAAGCACCCTGAGATGGTGACCGCTGCATGGCGTGCCAAACCTCGCACAGCAGGCGCTTCATCAGCTTGAGATCGTTTTTTTGAGATGGGCCTTTTTAGAGACCGCCGATCAAACATCTCAAAGCGATTATCGGCCGATAGTGATCGGTAGCCGATTAATCGGAGCACCCCTAATTTTAACTGGTTAACCGTTAACCGACAGTAAGAATTTTGACCAATTAATACAATAATTTAAATGGTTTAAAAAGTCATTTTTTTTTCAGTTATTAATCAAAATATTTTAAAACGTTTGCTGCATGGTTAAAATACGCTGTGCGTAGACCTATAAAATAAAATTGCGTTACAGGTCGCGTAACCTATAAGTCGCATTTTATTATATCATTCAGAAATAGGCCTAATGCTGATGCAAAATGTTTACAAACATTATATAGGCTAGACTATTTTAGTTCCCCTCATTCCTCAGCAAATCTTTTAAATTTAACAGTAGGCTATTCAGAAAAGAACAAGAATTAAAAATGTAAGAAGCTATAGTTATGACAAGACAAAACAAATTAATTTAGGCTGAAACGAAAACGAAACCAACGTTGGGTCTCTCATTCGACACAAATTCAAATGTTTCCGTATTCGCAATGTAGCTATTTGAATGCCAAAATATTTGTAGGGAAGTTTGAACTATATGTGCTGATCAGGAGATTGTGCTCGCCCCAGGGTGTCAGTAAAAACCATAGACTGTATAAAAACATGGACGTAGTGTCCGTGATGTCACCCGTAGGTTCCTGAAGAGGTTTTTGAAGCTCAAAGTGGGCAGAGCCAGCCGTCGCCATCTTGGCAGCGCGTCACTGCGCGTCACTCCCGGATAATCGAAAATGGGCAAAAAGGCAGGAGCTGGTTACTGAAACCACACCCACCTAGCTCGACGGTGGTGGCAGCAGCGGCAATCCACCTGTCACTCAAGTGGCCACGCCCTTAATTATGCAGAACTTTAAGGCGTAATATAATTTAAACGGATGATTTATAAAAAAAAATTCACCCACCTCACAGTTGTCATGAAGGGCAAAATTAGCTATATAGACCAAAATCTTTTTTTGAACCAGGCTGTAAACGTGTTTTTCTGCTGTAAAGTTTGGCATTTTAACATGGCGAGTCTATAGGACGGACTCCCTTTTGCAGCCAGCCTCTAGTGGCCGGTTGATGAATTACAGTTTAAGTCACTTCCTTGTTGGCTTCACCAGAGAGAGGGGGAGGTTGCCGCTTAGTAAAAACACAGCACAGGATTCAGAACATTCAGACTTTCCTGTTGTAAGTGTGTGGTCTGAAATAAACAAATAAATAACATATTACAATAATATAATTACAACATACATACATGATATTTTACATCTAATACAATTCTTAGTTAACTGCAATACTTAAATTGCCCTTTAGATGGTACGTTTAGCATGTACTGTATATCAGTGATTTGCAAATTCTCCGTGTCTGTTATAAAGTGCTGAGTCGTCATCGTATATGAACGGGATTACGGAGAATATGATAAAATCAATATCTAAACACTTAGTAACTGAGTTATGTTGCACCAAAGCACTGATACATAAAGAATAAAACAAATAAATAACTTTATATGCACAATCTATTATATTTATGGTAACTACGTCAGCGTGAATTCGGAGAACTCTTGAGGAGACAAACAACTCGCTAATTTCCGTAAAATAAAGCTGTAATATGGCAGGGTAACTATATTAAATATCACAAATAAGTATATAGACTTGACGCATGAACGCACACAAATTAGGCAAACTTCAAAGATTTATGTTGCCTTCACGTGATATAGGAAATTTCCTATTTCCCACTTACGAAGTCGTGATTACGAGCTTGTTGTATTCAAGTGTTTTAATGTTGGAAAGAATAAAATGTAGCATCCCATTGGTTGACTATAAACATTCACCACGCTATACATGCAGTTTGCTGACAATTCTGGAATTTCGGTCAAATACATGCTTATTTCACTGCTTATAAAACATACAATATGCTTCGAATGATCGTTCATATCTAGCCTATAAATACACTACTTTAGCGACAAGACAAAGGGATGTAATTGTTGTGAGAACAGCATTGACATCAGCAATGTTTGTCCCCTCCGCCATGTTTAGTGATTATGACCCGCCCAACTCAGAAACTCTGGTATCAAAATTATTTCCGAATTTCCCAGTAGTAAATACGACTTGAGAGGCGTTCACGTCTAATTTCCGATTAGGAAACTCGTATTTACGATAATTCCGATAGCACGTGAAGGCAGCATAAATTTAGGAACTCAGGAACACGCATTCATTCTCTTACTCCGCTCGCTGACAGGAGAGGTCGGGAAGTTTCTAGCTCGCCACCTATCGTCCTTTCCCAACGTCACCAATAAAGTGGTCTCTGATTGGTTAGATCTCCTTAACAATATTATTTATGTAAACCTGGTTTTGTAGGCCTACTTCACTCACGTTCCAATGTCCACGTAAAACAAAATGTGTGAACAGATTTTACTACGTATTTAAACTGAGCAGTGTTTTTTCCATATGTTTAATTGACTGTATATTATTATGATAATGAACAGGCTGCATCGTCAGTTAGCAATGCTAAACTGTGTGCTTGCTTGCGTGCGTGCGCCACCAGTGCAATCACTTGAATTGTTTCCTTCTAACAATGGAAACAACTACTCCTTCTAGGCATACAGATAATCGAAACTGTAAAAGGTTTGCTTTTATTTGTGTACATTCACAATAAAATTTGTTAATTTATTATTTAAGTAAAATATATTTCTCATAAACGCCTATTTATTCGTTATATAGCCTAGCTTTATTATGTTTTTCTCTGCTCGTAGAAGAGGTGCGAGGTGTGACCATGTGAATCTTCATGTTCTTTTGTTTGCTCCTTTTTGTGCGTGTAAAATGAATCCCTGGAAAACAAGTGTTAGTATTTTTAACGGGTCACAGACACTTATCCTTCCTAATTTAATTAAATTCTTACTTAAAATAATCTTGTCGGTTAACGGTTAATAATCCGTTAACAAGCATCGGTTGTCGGTTAGGGGAAATAACCGAAATGAACATCCCTAGCCTGAGCTCATCTTAGATTGTCCAAAAGACAGTGGAAATGTGTGCTGTGATGATCAGATGAGTCCACATTTCAGCTTGTTTTTGGGAAAAATGGACATCAGAGTCCTAAAGAACCATCCAGACTTTCATCAGTGACAAGTGCAAAAGCAAACGTCTATCATGGTATTGGGGTGCATCAATGCAAATTGCATGGGTGACTCATATGTGTGATAGTACCATTGACATAAAGGCATATACTGGGATTGTATACATATTTTCCTACAAGATGACATATTTCATGGGAAGTCCATGGATATTAGCTGAAGACAATGCCAGGCCTCATTCTGCATGTGCTACAACAGCATGGTTTTGTAGACACACGTGGATGTGACTGACTGGCCAACAGATCTGTCTCCTATTGAAATGTATAGCCCATCATGAAAAGGAGAATCAGACAAGATGATGTGACACAGTGGTAAACATGCCTCTGTCTAAACATTTTTCGATTGTGTTGCAGCCATCAAAATCTAAATTTGTTTATATTCACAAAATACAATTAAGTTAATCAGTGAAAACATTGAAAATCTTTTCTTTGTACTTCAGTTATTTAAATAAAGGTTAAATAGAATGAACAATCACATATTTTTTATTTAACTGCACTTTACAAAATGTCCAAAATTTTTCTGATAATGGACTCATCTGAGATGAGATGAGATCTGAGATGACGCTCGTTGGCTTCTGCATATAATTGATGTATAGATTTCTTCTTGTGTAACAGAGATTGCATTTCTTGCGTGCAGTGATTGACTATGTTAAGTGTCACTGGTTTTCCATAGTACTCCCAAGCCCATGTGGCTATATTTAACACAAATTTATTTTGCATGACGGTTTCTCATGCAATGCCATCTGAGGGCTCAAAGGTCACACACATTAAACGGAGGTTTCTTGCCTTCCCCTGAGATTTCTCTGGATTCCCTGAATCTTTTCACAATATTATTCATGGTAGATGGTGAAAAACCTGAATTATTTGCAATTTTGCATTTAGAAATTTAGATTTTTGATTTGTCTGACAATTCACTCATGGAATTTGGCACAAATTAATGAGCCATGACCCATCTTTGCTGGCAAAGACTGAGATCCCCCTTTACACCCAATCACGATCTCCTCACTTATTAACAATTCACCTGCTTATTGTGGACTGTTTCAAAACAGTTTAACTTGGATATTCATATTCACTTTTAGTATGCCTCTTGTCCCAACTTTTTTGTGTGTGTTGCAGCCATCAAAACTTGTTTGTTTATAAAATACATTTAAGTTGGTCAGTGTAAACATTGGACATCTGATCTTAGTATTTGTTAATTAAAGGTTAAAGAGAATTAACAAATCGCCTATTATTGGTTTACTGCATTTTACAAAACATGCCAACTTTTTTCTGATTTGGGGTTGTATCTGGTTCATAATTTCTGCAATCATATTACTAAAATTTTGAACATGTTGCAATGCTGACTGGTAAAATGTAGCTAATCAACCCTGCAATTTGTGCCTGTAATATTTAAAAATAATAATTGGATGGTAAATGTACACAATTCAAATGAATGAATTCAAATTTTCATACTTTCTACTATTATGTCAGGGTTTACATGTCCTTTTCCTTTCACATTTCTCTCTTTAATGGTTTTCTTTTATGCTTCGCTGGAATCATTTTGAAGTTTTGTACATTAATTTTAGACCTGATAGAAGAGAACAAGGAGATTGAAGAACTGACTGAAATGGAAGAGAAACATCATGTAAAAACTGAAGAAACATCCTCAAGTCCCTCATTGAAAAGAAGAGATGAAATATGTTTCACTTGCTCTCAGTGTGGAAAGAGTTTCTCATGCAAGCAAAGTCTTGATATTCACATAAAATTTCATCTTGAAGGGTTTTCAGATGACCCGAAGGACCACCTGAAAGTTTATACAAAGGAGAAGCCTTATGTATGTAATTTATGTGGAAAGAGTTTTATTCAGATGAATGCATTTAAAATGCACCAGATAAGACACAGCGGTGTGAAGGATCATGCTTGCTCTGAATGTGGGAAGACTTTTTTTACAGATGGTGCACTGAAAGTGCACCTGATAGTTCACACTACAGAAACGCCTTACAAGTGTTCACACTGTGACAAGAGATTCAAACGGTCAATATATATGAAAAGGCATGAGAGAATCCACACTGGGGAGAAGCCGTACACATGTGATCAATGTGGGAAGAGCTTCAGACTAAAAGGAATCCTTAATGATCACATGAAAATCCACACCGGAGAGAAGTCTCACACATGTGATCAATGTGGAAAAAGTTTTGCACAAAAAGGAAATCTTAAAGAACACATGAAAATCCACACAGGACTGAAGCCACACACATGTGATCAGTGTGGGAAGAGTTTCAGACTAAAAGGACTTCTTAATGATCACATGAATATCCACACTGGAGAGAAGCCGCATACATGTGATCAGTGTGGAAAGACGTTCGCACAAAAAGCAAACATTAGCAAACACATGAAAGTGCACACTGGAGAGAAACTGCACACTTGTGATCAATGTGGAAAGAGTTTTTCACAAAAAGGAAACCTTAAAGAGCACTTTAAAATCCACACTAAAGAGAAGATGCACACATGTGATCAGTGTGGGAAGAGTTTCAGACATAAAGGAAACCTTACGAAACACATGAAAAGCCATATTGGGGAGAAGCCGCACACATATGATCAGTGCGGGAAGAGTTTGAGTTGTAAAATAAATCTGCAAACTCGTTCTAGAGAAAGACGATATAACTCTGACCAGTGCAGTACAAAAAAAGTCAGGGCAGATTTCCTGAAGGACCACCTGAAAGTTCATTCAAAAGAGAAGCCTTACATATGTGATTTATGTGGAAAGATTTTTAGTCAGATGGGTGCATTAAAAATACACCAGAAAAGACACAGCGGTGTGAAGGATCATATTTGCTCTGAGTGTGGGAAGACTTTTTTTACAGATAGTGACCTGAAAGTGCACAAGACAGTTCACACTACAGAAACACCTTACAAGTGTTCACACTGTGACAAGAGCTTCAAACGGTCAGAAAATCTGAAAATACACGAGAGGATCCACACTGGAGAGAAGCCTTTCACATGTGACCAGTGTGGGAAGAGCTTCAGACTAAAAGGAAATCTTAACAAACACATGAAAATCCACACCGGAGAGAAGCCACACACTTGTGATCATTGTGGGAAGAGTTTTGCACGAAAAGGAAATCTTAACAAACACATGAAAATCCATACCGGAGAGAAGCCGCACACATGTGATCAGTGTGGGAAGAGTTTTACACAAAAAGCACTCCTTAATGATCACATGACAATCCATACTGGAGAGAAGCCACACACATGTGATCAGTGTGGGAAGAGTTTCAGAATATCAAGTGTTTTTAAAATGCATCTGCGTACTCATTCTAGTGAAATACTCTATAACTGTGACCAGTGTGGTAAACATTTATTTAGGGCAAGTGCCCTAAAGAGGCATCTGAAAGTTCATACAAGGGAGAAGCCTCATGTGTGTTCTTTGTGTGGAAATAGTTTTAGTGAGCGGGATGCTTTAAAAATACACCAGAAAAGACACAGCGGTGTGAAGGATCATATTTGCTGTGGGTGTGGGAAGGCTTTTTTTACAGATGCTGAAGTGAAAATGCACCAGAGAATTCACACTACAGAAACACCTTACAAGTGTTCACACTGTGAAAAGACATTCAGACGGTTAGTATATCTTAAAGTACATGAGAGGATCCACACTGGAGAGAAGCCGTATCACTGCCATTCATGTGGCAAGAGTTTCACTCAATTATCTTCTCTAATCTGTCATAAAAAAAAGATGCACGTCTGAAATTACAGTAAGTAGTTTAAGTGTCTTTTTAATAAACTTTGAGTAAACTGAATTGATCTTCTTCAAGTTTTCTGTCTTCCTCAAAAGTTATCAATACACCAGTTTTGCTTAGGACTGAAACAGAAAAACAAAAGGGCATCTATTTCGGAACACATAGAAGACAAAAATATTAATCTACAAACTATCATTACTTGTATAGAATTACAAATACTATTCAATTATTTATTACAATACAAATAAATATTTTTATATATTCTTCAATAAAATGGATTTCATAGGGCCCTAGTAATCTTGTCTGCCACATCATGAAGCTGTAACAGGAATGGAGACAGCAAGCTGTGGCAAGGATCTAAATGTAGGAGAATTTTAATAAAGAGACAGGAAAACAATAGAGAAAGTTGTGAGAACTACTAACACCAAACAATGACTGACAAAACACAAGAGAACCACAAGGGCTATATACACAAGGGGAAATAAGCATTCTAACAACCGAATTCCCTAAATTAGGTGTCAGTTGATCCAATTTCATTACAAAATGTGAGACAAAAATACATTTGGAGATGAAGACATTGTTTTTACGGAGCCACTAAAGGGAATTTTGCAAAAACAAAAATACACAGATTTTTGCGTGCACTTTTTGCGGTCCATTCAGGGGCTCCATGTGTCGTCTTTTGTTCTTGTAAATTAATCACAAAAAAAAAAAACTCTAAACTGCCCATGATGTAAACCAACATTTACTATACTGTGGTTATAGAAAGTCAGACAATATAAAGATTTTTATTATGAAGTATTTTTCTAAATTTGATTTTTAATAACATTTTCATGTTGTGATTTTCATTTTTCTGTGAATATAACCTATACTGTATAATAATAATAGTTACAACTTTTTTTATGTTTTGAAATGTTTATGTTTGTACTTTTGAAAATGTATCTTATATACAGTGTAAATTAAGCTAATTATTTAACACTTTAGGCTCATTTTGAGCACAAAATATGTGCTTTCTGTAAATGTATTTGTTTCTGGTGTAATTGTTTAGTTGATGTTTGTCACTAAGCAACTGCATGGAAAAGATGACGTACAGGTCTGAGCCGGGTTTGAGGGCATTAAATGCATTCATCATTTTAAAGCCTTATTTTTTTTCCATAATTAACCTCACCTAATTGTAATATACATATCTATGATATATACAGAATCACACCATCTTCCTTTGGTCTAAAGTAATGACGTATAGGCTATGCATGGTTAAGGCTGATTGGCCAATGCAGTTGTCAACAAAAACTCACCAATGAGAAACCTTTAAGCACACAAACTTTTTATGACCTGCAGCAGCTGTCTCCAAGACAAGAAGTAGTACTTGCATTGCATACAAGAAAGAAATGGTCCAGAAAGAAGGTGGTTTGGAAACAGAAAAGAGGATGTATTAATCTTCAGAATGTGTATTGGACATTGTTCATTAAATCAGTCTCTGCATAGAATAGGGAAACATGAAACCGGAAATTGTAACAAATGTGTCAAGCAGAAATAGGACACTAAATGTGATGCTTATGAAAGAATTTAGCTCTTTGGGAATAAATAATTGGTCACTCTAGGTTCTTGTTAGGGGATGGGCCAAAACAATCTATAATTTATAATGAATTATTTATTCATTTGAAAGAAACAGGACTGATTAATAGAATTTAGCTTTTTTTAACTCGTTGTTTCAAACTTCCCTAACATTATGCGCTCCACACTCCTTTCCAGTAGGTGGCGGGAATGCACCTTTTAAGTTGGTCTGCCAACCGCCATTAAACTCCAGAAGAAGAAGAAAACGGGAAGCAGTGGTGCCATCACACAGCTTTGAGTCTTCTGAGGTGGAGTAATTGGTATATTTATACAATTATAAAAATACAGCTTGTTAAAGCAAAATTTTACAGGCTCATTCCTGTGTTGTTTTAATCTGGTACAGTTCTATTTGTGCGTCTTTTCTGGCGTTTCTTATCTGAAACAAACATTTAGCCTAGCAGTAACGTTAGGGTTGCTAACCATTCTGAATTGTCCCGTATTTAAGACAACAAGTTGTCCCGTATACGCAGGCATACGCTTTATGACCACCCAGACCACACGAATAACAAACTCTAAATTGAAAATAATTCATTTTTGAACAAATCATCGTTTGTTTTGCGAACAGTAGATGAAGGCGTTGAGACCCAGCAGAATCCTCAGCCGGGTGGTCGCTTCCGAGCCACAGCGATAGGTTGATGTTTATTATGCGTTGGTGTAGCTATATTGTGATAAATTCACAACCCCATTTCCTACGTTGCTACTACACGACTGGTGCAGATTATTTTTTAGAATTAAGTGTATTATTTTTTTTTTATTAAATTGTACATAAATAGAATAAGCAATACACGTGATTGTGTCTAAGAATGAATTTTGTACACATGCAGACAATGAAATGACATACACTGTGTGGTAGAGTACAAATATTTGTCCCTTATTTTCAATGATGTGAGGAACTATTGTTAAATTAATTCAAACCTGAGCGACTTTCTATGTTGTATGATTGTTTGACAGGGTTTTTCATGGCCCTAAATGAGGTGGAGGTGGTAAAATCCTGCTCATGTGCACACACACAGAGGTACCGCATTTCAACTGACTGAAGAAAACACATTTTACAAGCACATATTTGAGGTATTTAAATAAGATTATTATTATGTTGAAAACAGTGTCATATAGTTTTGTGAGATTATTATGGGTGGATCACAGTCTCTTTAGGGGGTCGGTCCCTGGAAGAAAATTTTGTACATTTTAAAGATAAATTCATTAATCTGGTGCACTTTTACAGCTCTAAATTAAGAGCTATAACCCATGTTCTGTGTGCAAATTGAATGTCGAAAAAGTCTGTGCATTGACTTGTCCCTTAACTTTAATAGGACTCAACCCTGTATTTGTTGTAGTATCTCAGTCTACATTACATTTACATTGTACAATACAAAAAATGAATCTAATTAAGCCAAATTTTCTCTTGGATCTGTTTTGGGCAAGTTCCTTTGTGTGTTATATAATGGCCACTAGGAGGTGCTCTAGATGTATGTTTTCCCTGAAGAGATAGGCATGTTTGTTGGGTTTTTGCCTGAAATGAGAGTACAGTGTCTTTATTAAAATCAACATATTAAGTATGTATCTCTCATCCATTAATGATCCACCCGCAATTAACTGGAACATATTTTTTATTACTTGGCCCGCCCGACCTGTGGATATAACCACAATCCACGCATCACTATTGTGCGCTCTCACAGAATGACCTGAGCCTCCACTCTGTTCCAGACCATCAAGTTTTAGGGACAGAGCTCTTTACTGGTAGTGATATTGTGAGGGGAATTAATGAATCAATCTCAATTTGTTTTCACTTATTCTATGTATTTATATTTTATCAGTGGTTCAATCTGTTTTTAACATTATTTGTTTTTCACATGAAGAGGCTTTTTCAGTAGCTGTTAATTGTGTCACTCCCTATTATTAATGAGTGTTAAGAGGGACTGTTTTTCGTTCTTCATTTTTAGATGAAAAGAAGTAGGGGTGGGCAATATGACAAGATTCTTATATCACAAAATGAGTCATTTTAGTTCACGATAATCATATATCACAATATAGTTATTTGTGCAAAATTTTTCATATAAAAAATGTCATAATTCTTGTCACCAATGCCAGTATCATTAAAAAAAAAACGAATAATAGCCTAAAGGAAAAAAAACAACAACTCAAACTCACTGAAGATGTGTAAATGGTCAGATAAAATGAGAAGAAACTAATTACAAACAAATTGTTCAAAGTAATCAAATGTATAAAAACACTTTTTTTTTTATAACAAATAATTATTAAAAAACATTGAGATGGCACTGCTGCATGTCATGCCATACCTCTCACAGCAGGCATGCATCTTTTACTTCTGAGATGGGCAAATTGAGAGATCGCCGATCAAATCATTAGAAGCAATTATTGGCTGATAGCGATTGGTAGCTGATCTGCTGTGGGAAAGGTATATGTTCAAGTTGTCCTAAACACGATAATTTTTTATTTATTATTCATTTATTTATTATATTTTTCTTTTTATTTATTAAGCACGAATCAAAAAAGCATAAGCGTTTGCCACATCTTGCTCTGTTGTACTTTGGCAGATGCGTGTGCTGTTTAATGCCTCTGACAAGTGTTTTCCTCAGCGTGTAACTTGCGTTTTATTGTTATATATTTATCTGTAAAATGTAAGAAAGTCTAGAAAGATAAATATTTAAACATATTTAAAAAGTCTCTGCCTTTCTCACACAGAACAACCTCCTCGACAGCAACCAGTCTGGTTTCAGAAGTGGACATTCAACCGAGACTGCCTTGCTCTCAGTTGTTGAAGCCCTAAGACCTAAAAGCCCTAAAAGAGTGGATTCCAAATCTTCAATACTTATCTTGCTGGATCTGTCCACTGCTTTTGACACAGTTAACCACCAGATCCTCCTGTCAACCCTATTGGCAAAGGGCATCTCAGGAACCACACTCCAGTGGTTTGAGTCTTGCCTCTCAGATAGGTCCTTCAAAGTACCTTGGAGAGGTGAGGTTTCCAAGTCGCAACATCTAACTACTGGGGTGCCTCAGGGCTCAGTTCTTTGACCACTTCTCTTCTCTGTCTACATGGCGGCATTCAAGCTCTTGTTCTGTCCAGGCTGGACTATTGCAATGCTTTCTTGCAGGGGCGCCACTAAGGGGATGAAAGTTAGGACGATTCTAAGGGCCCACGTACTTTTGGGGCCCCCAGAGATCTGTTTTATTAGTAGTAACAGTAGTAGTAGTAATGTAATAGAAATTATAAATGTATCTACCAAAGAGTTACAAATAAAACAGAATTACGGCATTTCTGGCAAAATTATCTTCGAGTTTTAGGGGGGGGGCAAACCGAGCCGGAAGATTTTTAACGATTTGGTCAGTCGCACTTTTAAACACATTTTAGTTTTGCTATAGCTCACTCTGTTTGTCTTTGCTGCAGTATTGTTTGAGGTTACATCGTGTTTTCTGTTCCCTGTGTTTTGGATTACCTTTTGCCACGTTTTGTTCTGTTTATTTGTTCTAT